GGTCACTGTATGTTTCCCATTTTCTCTTACTATTTTGATGTTTAGATCTGGGTAGAATTTTAGATGATTTAAGTAAATATCTGTCTATTTCTCACATTACAGTAGGTGGCATTATAATGCTCTGAATTCACTGCTGCACCTTTCTGTGTCCCTTAAAACCAGGAAATGGCCTAGGCCTGGTATTCACAATAAATGGACTTAAATGCCTGCCTGTTGATAGCTCTGAAACAATGAAACAAAGTCAATCAAACCAAGTCTCAGTGACTAAAATATTCATATGAAACAAAGTCAATCACATTAAGTCTCAGTGACTAAAATATTCAAATTGTTAAGAAAGCAATCAATGAAAACAGCCCAAGAAGACAAACGAAAATTAGTCACTAGACCTGAAACATAGCAAGTCTTTGGCCCAATGCACGAGCATCATGAAGGTTTGTTCTTCCTATGAAGAAAGACAAAAGCGCACAAGACCCTACCATAGTGTTTTTCTAAAATACAACAATTTACAACCCTCCAGGTGGAGACTATCAAATAAAAAACAATCTCTTAAAGCCTTTACATACTAAAATGTTTCCCCCTCTTGTTAATGCAGTTTGGGTGTTAGAACACCTTGGGAGAAACTCCACTCTAAGGAGATAGCATGAACTGTCCTGCTAAACTAAGTAGACTTTTCCTCATGGTTCAAAAATTTAACTGCATTGAAATGAACTTGGAGCCACCAATATAAGGAGAAATGTCACTAGAGCGGGAAACCCTTAAAAAGTTGGCAGCATAGTATAGCTGAAAATATCCTAGCAATCATTCAACACAAGGTGGAATTTAATAGAGTCAAGCACGCACCCCCCTTTCCATTCCCCTGTCCAAGTAACTCACAGCTTTCAATCTCCAGAGTGCAGTTCTGTTCATCCAGAGGATACCTTCGGAGATCCATCATACATGCAGCTGTGGTTGTGATTCTGTCAGGATGAGAGAGAGAAAGATAGCATCATAAGTATGAAGGCCTCCGGTTCCAGGCTTAACCAGCCCCGGATCATGTTACCAGTGGGCATAAAAATTTGGTGGTTAAAATTTTTGAAGGCAGGCAGATTGAATTTGAGTCTTTCTTTGCTGCTAACTAGTCTTGTGAGCCTGGGCTATTTAATTGAGCTCTATGAGCCTCAGTCCACTTATCCATCATAACACCTACTACATAGGATGAATGGCAGTGAGAATTAAAAGAGATGTGTGCTCCACAAATGCTGGTCATTATTATAGCCATTTTTATCCCATAGCATCCTGGCAATGTCTCTGCCAGTATCTTCAGCAAGTCCTGCCTATGAGTAGGTCATCTACAATATGCATCAAAGCCTACCTTCATCTCCTGCTACAACCTAATAATAAAACAACAAAACAACAACAACAAAACCTGTCCTCTATAACTTTTGGTGCCTAACACTACCCACTATTACAAAGATTTGTCAAATTCATCTCTGAGACCCTGGTCCACCTATACTCGATATAACCAGGAAAGAAACACTACCTTAGGATTGGTGTTCATACCACATAGTCACCAACTCCAGTTGAGCTTATGTTATTATGCAAACCCCCAAACCCTGACTCTAGATATCTCACCTGGGTTTACATTATCCCTCCATTTTCATTTGCCTGGGCTATGGAATCTGAGAGTAACTGAAATTCCTAGGCTATCACTCTTACGAACATTGCATATTACTATGGAATTGAGAAAGTACTTTTCTTTGAAAAATGGCATGGTCTTCTCTCACAAAGTAACATGTGATTGTAATGTAAAGAATTCAAAATATTCAAATTTAATAATAGAAAGCTTCCTTGCTAGTTTAATCCCCACAACATTGGAAATTTTCCATGAATATTCCTTGTGCAAATAGGAGTATGGCTATATCTTCTTAGAGGATAGCTTCTTAGACAGCTGCCTACCTGCTCTGAACCTTTCTTGTTTGCATTAACAATGCATCTTGGAATTGGTTTTATATCCGTAAATAATAAGCTGTCTTAAAAATTTTACTGCAATGTGTTCAGTTGTATGGAAATACCATACTTTATATTCCCAGTCATCTTTTGATGGACATTTACACTGTTTCCTGTCTTTTAGTTTTACAAATGAAGATGCATTGAATATACTGGTACACCCTACTATGTCTCACTACTATCTGTTGGCTATTTCTGGAAAGAGAATGGTTGGAAAAAGGTATATGCATTGTAAGTTTTGCCACATTGCCCTGGGTAGAGATTGTGCCAACTTACGCTCCCACTAACAGAGTATCTAAATTTGACAAAGTACTCTTCATTCCTATGTTTTTTGAGGCTGCCAGGGTGAGTTATTGTTTTGGTCATGTGTGTTAACCTAACAGGAACTTTCTTCTTAAAACACTGTTACAAAAGACCCTAATCCTTTCCAATTTCTCGCAGGCTTTCCTTATGAAAGATGAGAGTTCACAGGATGAGCATTGGGGCATTCCCTTTGAAGCCTTTCTTAGACAGGATATTGGTCAATGTAATCAGATTTATTTGAGCAATAGGCAAAAGCAAAGAAAAAAAAAATCAGGTTCAATTTATAAAACATTTCTTCCAAGTGTTTTACAAAAATTTTAAAGACTAGTTGTAGTCCAGAATTTAGCACATGCAAGGATTTTATTAGATTCTTTCTTGACTCCTGCTCTCATAATTACATGCATTAATTTTTTTTTACTTAAAAATATATACTGCATATCTTTTGTTTTCTAAAAATACAATTTCACAAGCCTGTTTTTATTGCCTGCAAGTATTTTAAAACAACCTTAATGAGACAACACAATACATATTTTTAAATGTTTTAAAAATTATCTATCTACCCTACTATAGTATTTGTTTCATAGCTTCTTATAAGTAAAAAAGATTGTGAAAATTATCTATAAACTAGAAGCCCAGCAAGAGAACTAGCGTGGCCCCACCCACGCGTGTGGCCTCACCGTGCTTGCCGCCCTGCACACCCACGCTGGTCTTTGGTTGTTATGGTGTTAGGGCCATGGGCTTTATATATATATATATATATTACTAAAGTGTGGCAAGTCCTATGATCCTATGGCTTAGCCAGTGGGTAATTTTCCCCCACAAGGGACATTCGGCCATATCTGTAGACATTTTCGATTGTCAGGCTGGTAGTGGAGGCCTGATACTTTCATCCAGTCGGTGGAGGCCAGAGATTCTGCTTAACATCCTGCAATGACCAGGAAAGCCCCCAACAGCAAAGAGGTATCTGTTTCAAAATGTCAGTAGTGCCGAGGTTGAGAAATTTGGTTTAATGGTGGCTTTCAAACCATTTCCTTTGAGGAAAACATGAATGAAGCAAAATCTTAAATAGAAGCTCAAGCTATAAAATAGAAATAAAATAAGTAAAAAGAGTATTTTATTAATATAACATTATCTTATAAGTTCAATGTTGACATCTATTTTAATGACCACACAAATTTGGAAGCAGGAATTATAATTAGGGCCTTAAATCTCCCTCAGCAGCAATATTTTTTTTTTGTATTTTATTAGTATAGTATTGAGAAAATCCTGATAATAGTGAAACATTTGTTTCTAAAAATCTTATATGACCAGTTATAGGCTACCCTGAATTGGGTAAAAAAACCCATACCTGTGTGCCAAGTAACCACCTCTATGATCAATGACACCTTTCTACATGGTTCAGATACATTCATAGGGAGTTGATCTCTAGCAGGAGCTTAATGATGAATTAACAGTGGTTCTCAACCTTCTGGCCCTTTAAATACAGTTCCTCATGTTGTGACCCCCAACCATAAAATTATTTTCATTGCTACTTCATAACTGTAATCTTGTTACTGTTATGAATCATCATGTAAATATCTGATATGCAGGATGGTCTTAGGCGACCCCTGTGAAAGGGTCATTCGACTCCCAAAGGGGTCGTGACCCACAGGTTGAGAACCGCTGGATTAAAAGGAAGCGTTACTTGCTTCAAAGCAAAAATTCTCCATGCTCTGCATAAATTAACCTGGCTGCATAAGTTAATATTGAGGCGGTCTTGAATGCATTAAAATGTACATAGGACACTATATAGTGTACTTGTTTTTTATTATAGTTTTAAATAATTATAATATTTTAACATAAAATTAGAATGAAATATTATTTGTGGGACTCTTAACAAGCTTTAGAGATACTTGAAAATAGCATTTGACTCCCACTGGTCGGCATATCTCACTTAATTGACCTCATTTTCAGACAGGTGTCATCTGGTTAATTAACCGCATCACATCAAAATCAGGACATGCCTTGAAATCTTACGCTGAACCACTGATTCACATGTTGTGAAGCTCTGGAGTTTTTACAAAGCAATTTGAAAAACTAACAAAGCCTTGTGTGTAAAATGAATAATTAATGTCCCATGTGCATGGATCCTACAGTGGCAATAATAAAAAAAACACTCAACTTTTGGAAAGCATAACTGAACTTTCTATTGCTATCTTTATGATCAATCCATTCAGCAATCAATAGATAAAATAAATCTAATTGATATTACCTTGGGAAACCATACATCACACCAGAGACTTGTCCATGACTTGATATTTTTTCAGTTATGATATCCTGGACAAGTTAGTTTCTCTTGCCCCAGATCCTATTATGATCCCAAGAAAAGCTGAGTAATCATAACTCAGAAAGGGAGGGAATCAAGGCAGCTCCAGGAAATTGAGCTGTAGGACGTGCCTGGCGACTTCCTCTGGAAATCTCTGACATTAGTGAAACAACTTCCTTCTTGGGATCTATTTGCTCCTAATGCACAATTCCCCAGAGTATTTCCTTGGTTCACCTCGGATTAGGTGCCAACTCTTCCAAAATTATTTAGTACGAGCTGGAAGGAAAGTCACAGGTGTACAAATATGGTCACCAGGAACCCACAAGGGTCCTGAGAAGGGAGGAATCATTGAGACTTTGACAGGACCCCTATACACGCAGAAATAGGTGTTGTGGCCTGTAGAAATTTATGCAACAGAGAATCAGTCTCTGCTAATTTAAGGGATTGCCATTTCTAGATTTTTTTAATGCTTATGGCTAAGTAAGCTGAATGCCTTGGGCTCTCTCTGAGGGAAAAAAATGTTCAGAAAGAATTCCCAGGATCATTAACAAATGATCTGGGTGAGAAGCAACAGTGAACATCTCTAAGAATGAGTACTCCCTCCCTGTTTTTCCATTTGTTCACTTGCTGAATGCAATTGTTCAGCAGTAGTCACCTCTGCAATTTGCTGGGGTCCAACCCCAGCAGGTCCAGGGGTCCCCAAAGGTGTGGACGGAGTCGGCGAAGAAGGAATGACACAGAGACAGCGTTCAGTTGATCAGCAGCCTTGCCAGGATCTCTAGCTACAATCTCCAGCCAAGTTCTGTGTCCATGTTCTCTTGCTAGGTTCTCCAGCCAGGTTCTCCAGGTTCTCCAGCCAGGTTCTGTAGCCATGTTCGAGAGAATATGGCACAAAATCAACCATAGCAAACCACAGAATGAGAAAATGAGCTTGTGGCCAACCCAAAGGACAACTTTCTAACCACAAGCTGGGAGGCCTGATGAGCTATAATTCTAGTGGTAATCCAACATGGAAATGAAGGGGAAAAGGCTTGTGTTTGATGCTCTATCTCTCAGAGGACACTGTTCTCAACAAGTCCTATAAGACAAAAGATAAGCAACCTTTCTCGGAGAGGTGACCTTGGTTAAAACACATAGTGCCAAGAAGGTGAGCAAATATATTAAGAACAGTATGCCATATATGCCAGGTCCCTTGAAACAGCAAGGATGGACCGGCTCCCGGGAGCAATTAATTAACATTCCCATATGGAAATGTGCTCACATTGTGGTGGAAGCAGCCTGATAATCTATATCTATGGGATCAAAGGTGCCAAAGATTAAAAACACAAAACAAAAAAACAAAACAAAACAACAAACAAACAA